ACATTCGAGTTGACCGAAGGGTAACAAATCTCCATATATGACAATGGTGCAATCCAAAATGCAAAGCCCGAACCAAGATTGGCAACGTTAGCCAAGGGGAAGGACTTGATGGAGGCGAAAACAAGTTCGGTTCGATTGTGATAGCCATACAATTAGGAAGTGCTAACACTAAGCGGATGAATTTGAGGGACGATTGGAGGTGAAAATTTGGGGAAGAAAGGAACCGTGGGATGTAGCGATTTGATTGAATTTTTTTCTCATTTTTTTATTTCCACTTTTCAAATTTTCAATTAATTAAACGTTAATAGACTACTTTATCTTGTATTAAATTCGTCAAATTAAGATTAGACAATTGAATTTTGATAATTTTGGATGAAACAGTTAGACGTCCTTCCGTCGCACATTTATTGAAAGGTATGAGACATAATTGCTATGATTTAAAGATTTGGGATCATGCTGCATATTTTCAAAAAGTCAAGATCTCTATTGCAAATTTATCTTGAATTACTTTCTTCCATATTAAAATAATATTACACTTAAACCCAATTTTTTCTCCTACTTTTTAACCACACATTCTAAAAAAATTATTATTCCAAAATATCTATTTTTTCAAAATCTCACTAAAATGGTGCCCAAACATGGCATGTTTACGGTAGTTAAATTACTTAGTGCCCCTTCATAAATCATTTTATATTAATTTCATTACCTTAATTCTCTGTTAGGGACTTGGGCCTCGTAAATCGACAATGACATTATCGAGTGATTGTCAAGCCCGACCACAAGCACAACGATTCCCTTCGCTAGAGGCGACATATTAGGCCTATAGAGTACACATAAAAGACACGTCTAACTCAATTTGAACTAGTATTCTCAATTAGTATAAATAAGCCGAAAGATGCTACAATTATAGAAAAATCAATTCAGTAAAAATCACAGAATAGACACATTGGGGGTGGGCCCCATTTTTTTATAATAATATTTCACTCACATGGGGCCTACTCCCATGTGAGTATTCTGTCAAAATGACAGAAAAAACAGTTATGTACAAGTGAGTTTCTCCAAATAAACCTGACTCTGTGAACTCAATCAATTTTTTTTTGTTGGGAAAGTCTTAACAAGGGAAAATAACAAAAACATACAATAATAATTTTTTTCAAGATGAAATTACTATTTTGAAAAATTCCTCTTAAAAATAAATTTGGGCGTTGATCATTTTCTGTATTTTTTGTCCTTTTAAATAAATCCTTTCAAATGTTTTGCTTTCATTTTTTATAGAGCCACGCTTATTTACAAACAATCAAATAATTCAATTTTTCCCGCGCCATAATACGCATCGGAGATGAGGGAACTTTACCTTCAAACGCCGCAGAATGATCACACTTCATCAAATCGACGATCAAAATCCGTTGCCGATTACACTAAGAATCCTCATAAGGTAAGATTAGATTCAAAAAAATATTAATGTGTAATATTATGCACCAGATTAATCCAATTTGTATTTTGGCGGGTGATTTATCTTTGCAGGTGAATAAAAGGAGTTTGAATTTCGTGTCTACGGCGGTATCTGAAAATGAATCTTCAGTTTTTGAATCACCGGAGAAATCGATCGATTTCTCCATCTCCGAGGTTTGTGATTATAATCCCTTCCATAAATCTGATAAGGTGAATTTTGTTTATTATTCTTTTTTATGTGAAATTTAATTATAAAATTTGATTTTCACTTTGCAATTCCATTTTTGGGCCTATTTATGATTAATTCATATCTCTAGTTATTACTTTTTGAGCAGATTAGATGTTTGTTTCGAAATTTAAAGTCTATGCTTTCATATTATAGGCTGACAATTGGATCAGATTTTTTTTTAATTTCTTTTTTTGTTCCAAATCTTTTTGCAGAGTTAATGAAAGGAAAATGCATTTTTAGCTTGAAATTTATTAGATTCCTGAAGTTTATTTGCGATCGGATTTATTTTGCTTGTGTTCACCTTGAACTCGTTTTGGAGGAGTTCATGTCTTTCTGTTTTCCAGAATTCCATTACTTCAACAAGTCCAGTGGCTACACCTTCATCAGATACAGTGGCTCTTTCTAATCACTCTCCATCCTTATCATCATCATCCGTAATTACTTGTGAGAAGTATATAGCTGCTAGTGTCTCGAACAGTAAAAGTAAATGTCCTGAAGAAGTAAACTCTCTGAAGCAGATTGGATCTGTTGAAGCAGAGATGGTGATAAAACATTTGAGGGATGCTAGAATTCAGGTGATGAATTCAAATGATATGGGCCGGTCCAAGAAGCTTCTTGAAGTTTTGATAAGTGTCATTATTCAAGAGCTCAGGGGTAGTCCATATGAAGAGAAGGAATGGATCGATGAACTTGTTTCAAGCAATGCTCGAGTAGTTATCCTTAATGTTTTGCTGGGAATCTTTGTTATTCTTGTGTTTGTGCTCATCAATTCTGGAGCAAAAGGCATTCCTAGTGGACCTCCACCAACTTGACGTAGTAAGTTTCCTTGGCTCATTTGTAGTCTTCTTCCACTTAAGACTGTTAACTCTTTTCGTCTTTGCTGAAATTTGGATTTTTATTACTGTGCATTGCAACTCCACATATAAGGGCACTTGTACCCACAATGCTGATGTGCATGCCAGAGATTATATGTTAGAAATGAACGACTCTGGAATATTGATATATAGATGCTGAGTTGTACCTGATTTCCTAGTTTATGCTTGCTTGAGGATAGAAAGTTTATGTTATATTTGAAATAGGTAATCACATGCATAATTCTGTTAGGACACTGGTATGAATATGAATTTTTTTTAGACAAGCGACGATGGCCTATTTCTTGTCTCCATCATCGATGATTGGACAGCACGCTTTTCTGTGGATTTCTTGATGCATCTATGAATATTTATCTGCTATAACCGAAGAACATCAAGTCTTATTCTGGCTTGTGTATGATTTTGGATTTGTAAACGTACTTTCTCTAGATCAAGTATGTAGAAACTCCTAGCTGATAATTAGGCTCGACATTGAACCTTTTACCCGTTCTGTTAAAACTAGAACTGTGAGCAAAGATTACATCATGATTGGCCTAGTTTTTAAGTCCAAAACAGCTGCTTTAGGAGGGCTTTTTTCAACAGCATGTAGAGTCATGCTACCCAAAAAAGCTAGTTTGTTTTTTCATCTAGTCCAAATATGCTACATTAGTCCTATTTACTTTACACATTTTCTCCATTCCTTGATTTACTTGTTTCCACGGGCATTATCCCGTTAAAAAAGGATAAAAGTAAATTAGCACAAAAAAGCACAATACTACAAGGAAGCATTTTTGGTGAAGTTCAATCTGTTCATGGGCAACAAGCATATTTATCACATAGGTAATATTCAATCTGAATGCCTGACCTGATTTGATAGTTAAGGTGATTGACAAATGACAATTCAACAATTTTTTGGTAGTTAAAATGCTTGTGTCATATTAAGCCCATGTTTGATGGTTGACAATGAGTTTAAGAAAAAAAAAGTGTATTTATGAAATGGGGCCAAACAAGGGCATATTTTTCTCTATGCTTTGATCTAATTTCCTCATCTTGTTTTCCTATATTTTTGATTGGTTGCTGGTAGCTGAGGGATGAAAATGTGATATCAGGTAGGATATTAAGTTATGATATTGCTCTTTTAATAAGACGTCGACAATACTGGAACTCGAGAACTCATTAACGAGAGTACATATCTCTAACTTTTGTAGCTTCGGCAACAATATATTTGAAAGCTCGTTAGGACTAAACCCCATAATTTAGGTATGGTGCTCCTTTAAGTGATGCTTAAGGATCCAATTTGTTGTTACTTTACAACTAATATATCAAAATTTAAGTAATTAGCAAGCAAGAAATATTATTATGACTTTTAAACATGCCATAGATTCTTATGCAACCCTTAAAACTTCAGAGATCAGATTGGAGACCACAAATGTTGGTGGAGTGTAACTTTTGTCGTTAGGCCTGGGGACACAAGGTAGGTCCTATACTCACATGCAATTTGAACCTTATTTGAGACCTCTATTTCAATAAATGACAGAAAATATATGTAACCAAGAAATTCTATGATGTAAATGGATGGAAAGTGGAATTCATCCCGTATTTTTTATTTCTATGCATCTCGTTTAGGAGATCCTCGAATTCTCTATATGTGATGGGTGGGTGGGTGGGTGAGTGGGTGGTGTTAGAGGTTAATTTCTCGTCGATGAAGTATAAAAATTAATAATATAATTTTTTGGATTGCTCTCTTATTAGTATTGATCTTTTACAATGAAATCAGAATTCAACAAGTTCGGATGAGTAATTAGATCTTACTCAAATACAAATAAGCATTTGGTGTTCAAACGAGCAACATCCTACGGAGTATGTTAAGGGTAAAATTCCAATATATAAAATTACTAACCAATATATAAAGATTTTAACTACTCTTTTAAGTATCTCTAGTACTCTTTATTTTTTAAAGAGCATCCTTAAGAGTAATATTCTTTATACAAACTCTTTATATTTTGTTCATTATTTTTCTTTTTTCAACGATCATTTATTATTTTTCCTCATTTTGTAATTAAAATATAATTTTAAAAATTAATAATTAAATTTTTTAATTTAATATATGAATAATCTAAGTAATGGAGTATTGAAACTTGCAATTTTATTAGATACATATTGATAAAATACAACTAGAAGATAAGTTTGACTTTTAAAATGTAGAGATTCAAACACGTCTTTATTTTAAAAATTTAAAATAAAGAGTGTGAGAACGTAATTTTTAATGTTGATTCTTTAAAATAAATCATATCTCACTTTTTGGAAAATCTTGAAAATACTCTTAAAATTGACTTTTTATAACATAGAAAAGTCTCAATTATGATTGGGTGGGAGTGAGTTTTTATTTTATTTCAACTCATGGACATATTCATGAAATAAACATGGTACAATGAGTTTGGTGTGGATCAAATTTATGATTACATGGGTACTACATACGAGTTAGGACAAGTCATAATCATGCAGCCATTTGGAAGTGTTTTTGATCATCATTATTGCAGTCAACTTATTTGCTTAATTCTTTTTGTATCAATTTTTGATATTTAGAATTTTTCCGTATGGAGTCACTTTTCACCGCAAGAAACAAGTCAGTACATGTACATACATATTTGTAGAACCGATTTCACTCGAAATTTTCAATTTGATGGTTTAATATCGACTAATGCTAACCTTAGAAGCAATTGTTTTAAAATAAACAGAATAATGCTATTTAGCACCGAGACTATGATAAGCATTACTTTTGTGCTAAATATCATTAATCTAATGAAAAGTTCAAACATTGATATGTAATGGTCTGACCTTTGTTTCAAAGTTCATCTTCATATTTATAAGTCATACATCACTTCGATGTTTTCAATTTACCATCATTATATTATACGTATTGTTGTTTTTGGTATAGCATGTGTCTATCTAATTTTTCATGAATTCAATTTGAGTTTTTCATAAGACATGAGTATTGTATTCGAATTTTGAAAAGCGTGATAAAAAGTAATGAGAGGTAAGATGGACAAAGTCTCTTTGAAAACGAACAGTACCTATGAGTTAATGGCTTGGACTTGAGGCTAGAATCATTACATGATCCATGAATTGTGCTTATCCAACCATGATACTTCGTTTCCTAATATAGAGTCGGCTCAACACAAAATACACTTTTCAATTATTTTTATTGCTTTCTAATTCTTAAATCAAGCCACATCTTCTTTAGAACTAGTTCGAGTTTCACTAAAGTTGACCGGACTAATCCTATCCATCTATCTTGACACTTCTACTCGAGAAACGCAGTTGTTCTCACCTGTCCTACCGTCACTCACTCACTCGCTCTCACATGGTTCGAGGGCTAAACATAACCGTGAAGACATAGCTCTCTCTTATCAGTAATCCACGTACACTCTGATTTTTTTTCATTTTATTTTTAGTACAAACACAAGGGCCCAGGCATTAGGCCATCCGCGTGCTCACTCGTGATTCCCTTTAAAGTCCCTTCACCCTCCCACTCTCTCCCCACCAATTCTCTCGCCTTTTCTTACACCACTCTTCCCCAAATCCACCCACCCATTACCCAGCCATCAATCTCCAACAAAATACATACGTGTACGTATATATAACCAGGAATTTCAATCAGAATTATTGTTATCAATCTGCAGAGTTTCTGAAGATAATATAAAGCCAGGTGAATTCATTATTCATCGATTCGATTATTCACGTTGAATCTGAATACTTCTATATTCAGCCATCTCTTGGTTGAGTCATTAGTCTCTGGCTCTGTTCGGTATATTCAAATTAGAATTTAAGAATTTCGTTGAATTTGTTAAATTTAATGCGGTTGCTAATTGCAGAATATCGATTCGATTATTCACGTTGAGTATGAAAACTTATCTACTATATATTTCTGTTGTAGCTTCATATCACTTTGATTCTGTTATTTCAAAAAGATGTGTTGTTTTTCCCTGCTTATTGATGATCCGAAATGTTTTGTATTGAAGTTTTTTAGTTAAATCATTAGCCTCTGGCTGTCTTTGGTATAGTGTAGTTAAAAATTTAGAATTTTGTAGAATTTCTTGAACTTTAATCGATTCTATGTCGTTAAAAACGTAAACATGCTTACTACCTGATTTCAGATTCCCAGTATTTCTGATAAATTAANTACCTGATTTCAGATTCCCAGTATTTCTGATAAATTAATTCTATTTTTCTATCCTAAATCATCGGTTTAAATTCTTACACTTTATTCGACGCGTCTTTGAATCTACCAGTACTTGTTGATTCTAACTCAATTTTATTCATGGAACTGAATCTTCAGGTCCGCTCATCAATCATTTTGATTGGATTTGATTGATAAAAACTGCTGAAGATGACATCATCACTGGTCTTGAATCCAGTAGTGAATTCCGACAGATCATCCATAAGAAGAAAGAAGAAGAAGAAAATCCAAAGCCAAATCCTTGGGGAGAATCTTAATACTAATAACCTTCAGAATTCTACCGAGAATTCAGTAATTCAATGGAAATCTGAAGCTCAGCAGCAAATTTACTCATCAAAATTGCTCAAGGCGCTACGCCAAGTCCGTCGCAGCAACTCAACAACTCTTACATCAGCTCCGAAGTGCGGCCGAGCCGTCCGTGAAGCAGCGGACAGGGTTTTGGCAGCCTCAGCCAAGGGCCGTTCCCGATGGAGCCGAGCCATTCTGACAAACCGGCTCAAGCTCAAGTTCCTCAAGAAGAATAACCTCAACAAGAGGCAGAGAAATGTAATGGTGGTTACCACCGGGAGCAGCCAGTCACAGAAGAAATCAAGAGTGAGTATTATGCGTTTGAAGATGAAGAGTCTACCCGCTGTTCAGAGGAAGACTCGAGTTCTTAGTCGTTTAGTTCCAGGTTGCCGGAAACAGCCTTTGCCAGTAATATTAGATGAGGCTACTGATTATATAGCGGCTCTTCAAATGCAAGTCCGAGCCATGAGCGCTTTAGCCGAGCTGCTTTCTGTTCCCGGCTCTTCTTCCTCCACTAACGCCGCAGCTCCTCCTCCTGGTAACCAGCTCACTTCAAGCCAATCTCCCCCCAGTGTATAATTTTATGGATTTTCTCTTATATTTCTTCTTTTCTATTATTCTCCTCTCTCTTGAATATTTCACTATGAAATATATTTTCTTTTTTTATTCCCTTAAAAGTTGCTTTGATATATTTTTTTTTTCTGGTGCTGTTAATTTGGTAAATAGAAGATAATTAGGATGAAATGAAATAAGGACGGTCAGCCAGGTGCAAGGAATCCAGGTCGCAATCTTCTTTATTCACGTGGCTGGGGAACTTTTTTATTTTGCTGTGGGGTCCTTGAGAATAATTGAGTTTCGCATCTTTGCCCAATAGTTTTGCCAAGGAATGACTTCAAATCTTGAATGAACGCACCCTAATGTCCCAATAATGCCAAAAGAATCCATTGCTTTAAACTTTTGTGGACTGAAAACTGAAAGAGTTGCATTTAATACTTTTAGCCTTGAATTTAGTTTGAGGGTTGTGAAGATATTGAGAATTGAGCAATTTTTGAAGACTAATAATATTCATCCTCACTGGAGTTGAGCATTAGTCAACGTGACAATTATATGACATTAAATGATATATTCATTTAAATACAAAGTCACATGACTCATTTAATTGAGTATATCATTTAATGTTATGTAATTGCCATATAGATTGGTGCTTAACCTCGGTTAGGATGAATAACATTATTCATTTTTGAACGTTCCTTACCCTTTAACTCTTTGCTGTTTTCGATTTAAGGCGGGTCTAGTCTAAAAACATTGGTTCTACAATAAATTTTGTCAAATTAGGTAATTTAATTTCTATCCAAAGTACATCAGTTTGCTTTCTTGATTGGCTATTGTGCCAATGCCCAATGGTCCTATAGTGTCAGATTAGGACCATTGTACCAGATTTAAATGGCAAATGTGCCACAAGGAGCAATGAAAATGACACATCAATCTGACTAATTTGGAGGGTTAGTTGGTACTCTAGCGTGTATGAATAGATTTTTGTCTGAGTTGCTTTAAGTGTAGGAATCTTAGAAAATGATAAGATAGTTAATTCTGCCTAAAGTTGCCAAAGGAACTGCAGTACTCCATGTGGATTGAAGAGTTGAAGTCCCTACTGCATTTAAAGAGAAACTGGCAATGTGTACACTTGTTCAAAATGTGTGTGAAAATAAATTTGAGGGAAAATTATTTTCAGTTAAGCTGTGCCAAAGAACGCTTAAACTGTTGATGATGATAGCGTGTTGAGTAACTTATGCAGTTGGGTATTATTGTGCCCAACTTAAATGTGTGTGTGCACATTGTCATGTACTCGCGCAATGCGTTTGGCTTTCCAAGGCCAACCATATGAAAATGGCATATAATCTCTCTTCACAATTGATAGGTGTCAAAATGTGACGGGATCTCCAAGCTCGAGATGGTTCGACCTGTAAAATTCTGAGTGTCAGATAATAATGGGTCGAGAGGGCCTAGTTTTGCAGGCACGCATGGACCAAAAAGAGAAAAAAGACATTATAACGAGGTTCATAAGTTTGTACCAACCAGGCCTAGCTATGCGTACACATTGAAATGAGCCATGAAGAAATGTGCATGGCGTGACATAAAAACTCTAGATAGCCCAGGTCCAGGTCCGTAAGCGGGCTGCGGGCTGCACTTGACCCAAGCCAACCTAAGTTCGATTTATGTGTGGATTTCACGACTAATGCTACATCACTAGCGTGGTGTTCATCACAGGTCTACTCTACAATTCAATGAATAAAAGTTCATCACAACTTTATTGAATAACGCGACATATTCTATATGATATGTATCAATAGTGATGAATACTATTATTCTTTCGCGACTGCAATTCATCAAAATTTGCACGGTACTGTCACAGAAGTGACACTTGATGATTGAAGGAGGACCACAAATCCAAAGGAGGACCGAATAGAGGAGTCTAAAGACAAACAAATGACATGACTCTGCACATTTGCTTTGATATCAATTGTTTGTTGGTACATTTATTGTGTCCACCAACACTGCAATACACATGCACCCATGTGACTTGCCTCGTTAAATTCCAACCTTTCTCAGAAATGAATTCAATCTGCAGGTTTATGTTTTTACTTTGAAAAACCAAAAGAAAAAGGTGTAAACACATTAACATTAATTAGTTAATCGAAATCTGATCTTTACTATCATTTATGGTCCGTGGAACTAATACAATGAGTTGAGATATGTTGCTTCCATTTGAGTGTCCTTTCATTTAAGCTCCTTAGAATTGAGCAGTCGACAAGTAGATAATATTTGTGGGTCCATTGAAATTTATCATTAAAAATAAAGTTGGGCTATTTATAAAAGATTTACTATAATTTTTACCAAACACACCATAAAATTTTGACATCTTGGCATACAAGCTCTTGTTAACAAATGAAAAAAAATAATATTTCAAAATGTGATGTCTCGTGTTTTACTATGTTGGCGTTTTCTCGTTTACTAACAAGGTACAATCTATTGAGGTTTAAAAAATTGAACGGGAGGAACAACCAATAAGGACAATAAATCTTGATTCCCGATTTATTGCATGTTTGATGCGTAATATTATAAATTATTCTACAATATAAAATATCTTAACATTTTTTAAATTATTAGGTTAACAATGAGAGGGAGTGATGGAGTGATTGTGAATAAGAGAAAAAAATGTGGGGCCCAAATTGGGTATGAGGGAGACAGTTATTGCAGCTGTCCACATCTGTGGGTAGTTAATGTTGTGTATCAGAAGTGACTAACCATAAACAGTGTCTGGAAATGCCCACTTTAGCTTCTATGAAATGGCCATGCTATCCTTTAAGCAAATATTTTAATTAAGTTATAATTAATTAAACATACCCTAACAAGCTAAATGGAGAAGGATATTTTTATTTATTAATAATTTAATTTTTGATGTTATTATTCTATATTTCTTATAAAAAATTAATCTTATAGTGTATGTAGTTATCATCACAATTAGGGGCCAAGTTATCATGATGCAATTTTCTTATTCTTATTGCCCTTTATTTTATTCGTGTGTAAAGAATACATGAAAATCAAAGAATATTCGCATCCAATTGCAGCGTGTTAGATATATTCGATTGAGCAAAAACAACCCCAAATAACAAAAAAAATATCCCACCCATGCTTCTTTTTAATAATGCCAATTCTATTTAATTCAATATTTGTTTTTGTCGAGAAAAAGAAGTTCGAGGTGCATGTTCTACTCATGTTGATTTGGATTTTTTTCCGCCCCTACCTCTTATTCAATTTGACATTTTTAGCAAATCCTTGAATCTCGAATAAAATGTGATATTACACGTATACGTTTCAAATATCTATGTACTTAATTTTATCGTTTTAGGAAATAAATTATATAATTGACATGAAAATATATTATAAGTATTAGGTTGCATTTAAATATTGAAACCTAGAATATGTATATCTATAACTTAATGAAAAGGAAAGTTCAAAAAGATCCAATAACTTGACTAATCATCCACTTGACATCTTAACGTATTAGTTTAATAATCACATCTAATTGTAGTTATCACATAAATGGAAACCACAACCAATTGTATACTCAAAAGATGCAAAAGCACATGGGCTGCCATGAAAGTGGGTCCCAATTCAACACATAATTTGTAAATTAAGTTTGACATTGTTCAATAAAGTGATTAAATCTATTTACAAGAAATTATACAAATGAGGAATGTGGGCTCCATAGATCATAAATCACATAGTGGCAAGCATGTGAACATTCATAGGATTGATTTGTATTTAGTGCACAATTTTTTATATTTAAAATTTTTAACAATTAAAATAAACAATAAAATAAATTTATTTAATAATGCAGAGCGAATACCTGCTCAAATCGATCAATGATATCAGAATCTGATGAATCGATTCGCACCGACTTACTAATGGAATACTCTTACACGTTATAGAATTTCGCTCTTGCCAATGATTCAATTAGAGGAATATTAACGAGAATGGTACAAATTTCTAAAAGTACGTGAATGAATGAATCAATAATTCATGATTCTCAAAATGAATAATGTGTAATCGATGAGAAATCGAGAGCCATCTTTAATAATATACTTATTTAATAATTAGACAACCCTTCATAAAACAGAAGATAAGATGAACCAAAATTGTCCCCTTTCACCTCCAAATTCGAATTACATCACTAAACAAGTCTCCAAAAATAAAAAAGGGCGGAAAAAGTTGAGAAGACAATTTTGAATAAATAATTAAATTTTAATATTTTTGATAAAATCTCATTAGAAAACTAGAGGAATAATCCGTGTGACTTATTTTATTTGCACCTATGAGGACAAAGTGTTTAGGCCCTCCTTAATTTCCGGCATAATCTCATAAAATAAGTGACACTTAGATTGAAAGAAAATCAATTTGGGCAATTAATTATAATTTTGTTACGAATTATGAGTAAATTATTTCTAATTATTTGAGATAGAGCAGCTTTTGCTTCTTAAGTGGTAACCAAGGTGTTGAACACTTGATCTAAAAGCGTAAGCTACACACTCCTTAAGTAGTATCGTGCACAAATTCAAAAAGTTGGGGGCATATGTGCTACAAATAAAAGGTTGATGACATGGTTGCGACACTTATAAAAGATTAAGGACTCATGGAGGAATTTATTTTTCCCTTGAAAGTCAAATTTTTCGCGATTATGTATTTAAATAAAAGCAAGTATTTTATTTTATTTTTTTAGTCGGGGAATGAATTCCAAATCGATGTTGGAAAAATTCTCCCATCCTAGAGAAAGAAGAAATAATATTCCATCTTATGAGTCATTGCTTATGATATCATTCGACATTGTTTCGTTACATTTTCTCTCTTTGCATGCAGAAAACTCCTCTCTCTTCCCTCCTATGGGAATTAATCCTAGTGCGTCTGATCATCCTTTTAGACCAGATATCAATCGTCATCTTGATAAGCTAAATTTCCAAATCTCATTAATTTTGACCCGGGCAATATTGAAAAATGCTAGTTGTACAGTCTTTTTGTAC